TTTTACAGTATTATATTAGACGAAACTACAGATGCATCGCATTCATCTCAAATGACTCTAATTTTAAGATATATATTTGATGAAAAAATAAAAGAAGATTTTGTTTCATTCATAAATTGTCACACTTTTATAATAAGCAAAAGTCAAACCAGGATGAAAAAATCAATCATAATAAAGAATGTTTAGAAAATACAGAAAGCAACATTATTGAACCAAAACTCATAGGTGATGTTCTTGGAAAAATAGTAGTTAATATTCTAAAAAGTTTAAATTTAAACTTGAAACACTGTGTTGGAATCGCAACTGATGGTTGCTCGGTTATGACATCTACAGTTCGTGGTGCTGTTAAATATATTCAATCAAATGCAACTCCAAATGGAGTTTGTAGTCCATGTACTTAGTAAGTTTTGTTAGTAAATTTATCAATATAGTTTAGTTAGTAAATTTATCAATATAGTTTAGTTAGTAAATTTATCAATATAACGTAGTTAGTAAATTTATCAATATCTAAATCATCTAGTGTCATGGAAATTAGAGACTCTGTTGGTATTATTAAAGAAACTGTTAAATTTTTTAATATGTCAGCCAAAAGAAATCATGTTCTTAAAATAGTATTGGGTAAAGAAAAACATTTGATGAGTTTATGTGAAACAAAGTGGATTGAAAGACACGACAGCGTTTTGATATTTAAGATTCTCTACACTATATCATTAAATCTCTGAACCTTATAACCGAATGGCAAGATAATGATTCATCAGTAAAGACCTATTCTCTTTTTTTTTCTTTTTTTTTTTTATTTGCATTCACTCCCAACAAGGCTGCATGCAACCACTATTAAGTTGGGAGTTACTAGGAAAAAAAGAGCAGAGTTATAGAGCAAGGAAACGGTTGACAGATCCAACAACATTTACAATGCGTTTTTGGACCTTGTCAAGAAGAGAAAGAGAATCGTTAGAAGAACCAGCCCAAATATGACAACAGTATTCCATACAGGGACAAATAAGAGATTTTTAGAGGTAGAGAATGGAATCAAAAGTAAGGAAATGGCGAGCACGATAAAGAGAAGCAACCTTAGCAGAAGGTAATTTAGCAATCGATTGTATATATGGTTTCCATGAAAGGTCAGTAGTAAGCGATAATCCAAGAAGACGTAAAGAGGAGGACTCAGTAAGAGGATTGCCATTCATTAATATAGGAATGTTGACCATATTACGATAGTTGTTTGCTGTAAGCAACTGGGTTTTTTTAGAGTTGAAATTCACAAGCCACTGTGAACCCCAATCTATTACTGAAGTGATATCAGATTCAAGATCAGCTGCTTGTTCTAGGCGATCGAAAAGAGAAGACTTTTTGTCAAGACAGGAGTATACAGTTGAGTCATCAGCAAAAAGAGCTACTTTAGATGAAAGGTTGTCAGGAAGATCGTTTATGTAGATAAGAAACAAAACAGGGCCCAGGATGGAACCTTGGGGAACCCCAGAAGTTACTGGAAATAAAGAAGAGTGTTGGCCTTCAAGGATGACTTTAATAAACCGGTTAGAAAGAAATGATTTGATAATCTCAAAAACTTTCCCAGAAACACCATATGAAGCAAGCTTATGGAGAAGACCAGCATGCCAAACTTTGTCGAAAGCTTTAGATATGTCGAGAGCAATAGCCCTAGCCTCAGCGCCTCCATCTAACGCACGATAAAATCTTTTAGTTACAGCAGTTAGCAAGTCGGCCGTAGAGCGAGAGGATCGAAAACCGTATTGATTGTCTGACAGTAGTTTATTTGACTCAAGATGAGATGTGAGGAATTTGTTGATCAAAGACTCAAAGACCTTGCTAATAACAGAAAGAAGACTGATCGGACGATAATTGGAGGGGTCAGAATTTTCTCCAGAGTTTTTGAATATTGGAACCACAGATGCCATTTTCCAACAAGCAGGAAAACAAGACTCATTCAAACACTTGTTAAATAGTTTAGAGAGAATTGAAGAAAGTTCTGGAGAACAATTCTGCAAGACTGTGACAGGAATGTTGTCTGGACCACAAGCTGTAGACGAGTTTAATTGAGATATGACTTTAGCAACAGAAGCCGAAGTGATTTGAATGTCTAACAATGGGTCAACCTGTTTGACTAGAATGGAAGGAAGAGAATGTCCATAAGATTCAAGAGTGGAATTAGAAGAAAAGTTCTTTGCAAATAGTTCTGCCTTATCCTTGAGAGAGGTAATAAGATCAGTCCCATGAATGAGAGATGGAATGTTAGATCTACCCTTGTTAATAATGCTGTTGAAGATTTTCCAAAAGTCTTTAGAGCCTAACTTCTGCGATAAGATGCGAGATTTAGTGAACTGAGAATAATGGAGTTTAGCATCAGAAAGCACCTTTTTACATCGATTTCTTGCAATAATAAATAGCCGTTTGTTCTCAAGAGAGTTGTTCTTTTGAAAAAGATGAAAAAAATGATTACGATTGGATATAGAAGCCGCACAAGAAGGAGAAAACCATGGAGTAGAATAAGGCTTGACTTGAAACCGACGCGAAGGAATAAAAGCTTCCATTCCAGCCTGAATCCAGGAGGTTACGTAGAAGGCGCATTTGTCAGCTGAGAGAGAAAAAACATCAGCCCAAGGACCATTACGAAGAAAATCACGAAAGGAATCCCAGTCAGCTTTAGGGTAGTAGTAGGTGGTGCGATGATAAGGTGAGCCCAAAAAAGAAGTACGAGAACAAAGATTTATAGAGATCATTGCATGGTCAGAACCACCTAAGGGAGAAAAGGGAGAAACTGAACATATGCTAGGGTCAGAGACAAGACATAATCAAGGAGTGAAGGTAAATGATTAGGGTTGTCAGGAAAACGAGTCACAAAGTTAACTATCTGAGTAAGAGATTGAGAAACGCAGAAGTTAAAGGCTTTAGTGCCAGCAGGATCAGTGGTGTTAGAGCCAAGCCATTCAGTGTGATGGGCATTAAAATCACCAACAACAAAAATATTGGCAGAGTGGTAAAGAGAGAGAGCATGGTCAATTTGATCAGAGATAACATCTAAAAGAGTGCAATCATGGGAAGAAGGAGAACGATAAAGAACAAAGAGAAAGGTGATAGAGTGGAGAGGTGCTAGGCGAAAGCACATAAAAGAATGGTCAAAGGATTCGAACCTGGTTTCACGACAAATTGGGGAATTAATGCGTATGTATACCCATAAACCTAGCATGTGACTATTTGAGTCTTTTGAATCAAAGGATAGTACCCATCAACACTGACATCTGAAGAAGAAATTGCAGAATTTAAATTTGTTTCACTGAGTGCAAGCAAGTCTGGTAAATTTTGCAGGAGGTAAGACTCAACTGATCGAAAGTTGTTTCGTAGACCGCGAATATTTGTAAGAGATATATTAAAATATTTAGGTGTTTAATGAAAACTTGACTCATTCATAGATAGAGCACAGCCTCCTAATCAATGAGTTATGCAGTTAACTCAGTCCTGTTAAGTAACCCTAAGCCGTGACATAGGGCTCCTTATGTGGCCTTGACAATGCACACCAAAAGCATTAACAGGGACACCATCCATGCGCAACATGGCACTGTTAATACTCTGATATTTTGCAGCTGTTGATGAAATCAGCCTCTCTGAGAGATAACACAGAGGTCGGGAAACCTGACTACCAGCCGGCCTCAGAACCATTAAACTGAGTTTTAGAGCTGTACCCTCATATGGAGATAACAGGAAGAGTTGCATAACCATTATCAAGGAGGCATAAGCAAAATTCTATGAGTAGAGTCAAGGAGATCCAGCATTCATCATCCTAGGCAGGAAACAATGTAACACAGGTTACATCTACGCCAGCCTAATAGATGAAGAAGGGGTTCGAGGCTGGTTAGCAGAATTTTTCTGCTTACCCCTAAAGTCTTTGCCTAGGAGGCCTTCTACAAGACAGTAGCTGGATGCAGTTAACATCTGCCCAAGATGAGTGTTTTTATCGAGACACCATCTCTAACCTTTACTCAACCAAGAGCTTTTTAACCAAGAATTTTTAGTCGGAGTTTATTTCTCCTAGCCTTTGCATAAGAAGAGCACACTCTGCAAGGCAGCAGGGCTTGTGGCAGGTGGTACTGGGTTACGTGATACCAGTAGCAAGATTGATCTCGATTATCCTGACCTGACCTGGAGTAGTTAAAAGGAGTTACTTCCCGCAACAGTACTTTGAGAAAACCAGGCATGATATTTTGGAAGTTCATTAGGAAAAACACTGCATCTAACAAAATACAGGAGTCTAAGGTGAGTGTAGGTTTTGTAGTTGGAGTAAGTAGTTAGTTACTGAGCTCACGCTGCATTAAAGTATAAACAGAACACAAACAAACATAAATCAACTTACGGGTGAGTCAACACAGCGCCAGAGGTTCAGACAGAACACAAACATACATAAAAAACATAAAGTAACTTACGGGTGAGCGAACGCCGCGCCAGAGGTTCAGACAGAACACAAACATACATAAAAAAACATAAAAAACATAAACAAAAACATTTTAAGTTCATTAACTTAAAATCAATTTATAATATCATTATTTATACTCTCAGATTTACTCAATTTAACGTCACCTGCAAGTAAACTTGTATATTTCAAAGTGTTCAAAAAGACCTACATTTTGCAGAAGATTGCTTTAAGAATATTATAAAAATTATGGAAAATAGGCGGTCTAACTGTTTTATAAATTTTAAAACAATTTTTATAGAAAGTAAACAACTTATGGAAAAATTGGATGTGGAACTAAAGTTACCTCGTATTACTAAGCCTCAAATACACAGACCAAATATAAATACTTTATCAGTAGAAGAACACTTTAGAGTTTCTGTTTATAATCCACTGTATGATCATGTCTTTGATGATTTAAAAGATAGATATTATATAAGAAAAATGTAACTGTTTATAAATTGTTACTTCTTATACCAAGCCTTGTTGTTGCTATTAAAGTGCATGATATGAATATAATTGCTGACATTATTGGTAACGTTTATTTGCATAGAGTAACAACAGTTTTCTTCTGAACTTGATTTGTGGATTGCAAAATGGACCAGAGTTAAAAATGAAGGTAAATATATCATCTATTTTAAATTTTTTTCAAGTCTAAATTATCTCCATAAGAAAATAATATCTTATTTATAAGGAGGTTATCTACTATCTACAGTATTAGATGGTTTGGATTATTGTCCAGATCTATTGTTCTCAAGTATAAGAACAATACTTTTAATTATTGGTTGTCTGTCTATTAGCATCAGCTGAAAGAAGTTTTTCTACTTTGAGAAGGTATATCTACATTAAAAATTACATTATAAAATTAATAACCAAATAATCTTATTTTTTTAACTAAAAAGAATTTAAATCTAGATTAAAAGATTGGTTACGATCCCGAATGAGTCAAGATAGATTGAATGGTTTAGCTCTAATTTATGTTCATAGGGAAAAAGAATTGTCAACAGATAGCATTATTGAACGGTTTTCAAGAGTTAAAAAAAGAAACTTTGAATTTATATTGTAATGTTGCATTTATTTTATAGATAAACGGTTCATTTTTGTTAATACTTGTATATTTCTATTTTAAAGATGGTTTCGGGTAAAAATTGATAGCGATTTAATTAAAGATGGTTTCAGGTAAAAATTGATAGCGATTCAATTTTTGTTGATAACAACTAAAAATTAATAAACAGGCGATCTTAATAAGCTTGGTGTGTGTAGATAAATTTTCGATAAATTAAATCCATTAATTACGTCAAGCAACTTTTTTATCCCCATTGTAACGCTTTTGTGACAAGTTCCGTACGAGTCGTCATAAAACTACCAAACCCCCCTCCCCCTTAGAATGTGACGTAATTTGAAAATGACCCTTTTAGTAAATTTTTGAACTTTAAATAGCCCCCCCTCCCTTGGCGAGTGATAAAACCCGCCCCTGATTCTTATAATCCATTAAATGAGGTGCTAAGTTTGTAATAGCTTCAATTATAATATAGATATGGTCTAGCAAATCATTCATACTCAGCGGTTAACTTACTGGTAAATTTCCCTTTGCTTTTAAGAAATGGTGGTATTACTAATTTAACTTTCCTTGCAATTAAAAGACTGATATTCCTTTATCCATCATTATAACATCTCCTTCATTTAATGTTTCGAGATAACCTGATGTTTCGCCAATATATAAATTTGAAGATGAACCACCATATGCTTGAGATACATAGTTAATCATCCCGGAAGGTGCTACGTTGATAGCTTTTTTCCAAGTGTTTCAATTTTTGTAACTCGAATATGTTTGAACTTGTGCTTTGGCAAACTTGGTCGCTCACATTGACCTTCTGTGCAGACTAGTTTTGAGACCTCATTATCTGTAAAAGACTTAAAACATTGTGTGTAACATGTTTTATTTTGCTCCCGAGTAACCTTGTAATATGATAAGCTTACGCTGAGTATGATTGAATTCTTCATCGTTTCTCCGATAGTTACGGCATCCAAAAACAGCATAATAATCTCCCTTAATCTTTTTTTTACTAAAAGCAAACATTTTAGTTTGGTATTTAAATTTTTATAACAAGTAGCAAAAGTTGCTTTTATCTCAGCATATGCTATAAAAGCACTGTTTTGAATTACCCCTTAGGGAGATCCAGAATGTATTGCGGCAAAAAGCATGCGGTTCCACTGGGAACAGATCTATTGTTCAATATTAGAAACAGTTCTGTATTCTGTAAAATACCCTCGCGCAAGCAATTTCCATTTTAAAATTGAAAATTCACGAGGTAATCTGATCGTTAATATCTAAAAAAGGTCAAATTTTAATAAGGAGATTAAACTGTATTTACTTTTTAAAGGTTTGTATCAGATTTGTAGTGTGTTGATGCCCTAACGATTTTTCATTTTGTTTACTATTTGTTTTGTTTATTGACTTTTATGTCAATAAACAAAACAAATTTTTATATAAATTTGATATTGTATGTTTGTTTATTTATCTCTTAATATTTGCAGTTAACATTTGCTTACATCTTTATTTATGTTTATTTTGTTTAGTTATTTAGATGCTAAAAATACTAGCAATGAGCATTTCCTTGTATTACTACTTATAATTTGTTTATTTGTTTAGGTTTAAATTAAAAGAAAATTTATGTTTCCAGAGTTGTGATTAATCATAATTCAGTTGTTAAACAGATGAAATTCACGGCTGTTTCAGAGTGAGCTTTACGCCTTTTTTTTTTTTTTATTTGAAAATTGTGACTTAGGGGGTGTTAATAAAACATTTATAACTTTTGAAATATTAGAGATAATTTTGTTTTGTAAAAGAAATAAAAACAACAAGTGTTTTATCATAGGACATTTAATACAATAGTATAAATACTTTTTTTAGTTTATATAAAGCGCAATAAATAATGAACTTAGTTAAATTTTGGAAATTTGTAGTTACTTTCTACCAAAAAAAAAATCAGCAATATATATTTTTAATAGTTATTTTCAAATACACTAATTGTTTAACTGTTATTAAAATAAAAAAATCTTACTTAATTGCTAAAGGTTAACTGAAACAGTCTTTATTGAAGTCTGAAAGCAAATTGCATTCTTTGCAAAATTATGAAAAATGTTGTTAAAGGGGGGATTAGCTGTTAAATGAGCACATTTTTAAATCTAGAAGTTCTTGTTTTAATGAATAATTAAAAAAATGAAGCTAGATTTTGATTTTGAAATATTTAGTCTTAACATTTTAAGCTGAAGCCTTTTAAAAACTTCTTTTCTATACATACAGTTTTAAAAATATGGTTTTAAGTTGTTAATAAATTAAGACTCTAATAAAAATAATTCATGACCAAAACTGAGTTAAAGTTTTGAAATAAACCTCGCTTTTAGTAATAGAATTATTTTATGGCACTTAAATCAATCTTTTCTCACAAAAATTAAAACGTTTCTTAAAATATACAAATAGCTAATTTAAATTGTTTGATAGTGTGTTTTTATTCTCATAAAAAACTGTTTTATAATGAGTTGATCCACTAATAAGTTCTTTAAGTAGAAAATGATCTTTGATAGCGATTCCACGGCACAGCGAAAAACATTTGACGTTTGACGAAAAACGCTGATTTTTCATAAACTTTACTCTCTTATATCTTTTTGTAGGGTTAAGCAATCACCTTAAGGTTTTTTGTTATGATTTTTGCGTTTGTTTTTGTTTATAATATTTTTTTTGGCATTCGCAATTTATTAATGGATTTTTTGATGTTTACTTTTCACTTTCTAATCTAAAGCTTATTTATACACTTAAGAAGTAGTTAGATAAAAAAAATATTTTTTTGAAAATTTGACATAACTGCTTTATATAGCATAAAACTCTTGCTTTTATTCCTTCCATCATTTTTGTTTTTCAAAATGGAATAAAATCTTCATTCTGAGAATGATATTGAAAGTGAAACTCTTTAGATTTCAAGCTGTTAAAAATATTTTATTTTGTTTTTTAAAGGTATTTTGTTTGGATTCTTCCACAAAATTGCAAGCTGATTGTGTGTCATTTGTTGTTTTCAAAACAGTGCTTTCAAAATTGTTTTTATTTACCATGCTTTTTGTTGATCTGATTGAGAATGCTTTCTAGCCAAATCAAGTTATTTTTTTAAATTTAAATTTACTTGCAACAATTGGTTAATCTTACAATCCTTTCTAATACTCTTTTTTTTTTCTTCTTGGACATTATATTTTGATAAAATCCCTTAATTTTTTCTTTAATATTCATTACATCTTGTCTATTTTGAAATTCAAGGTGCTTAATTCTCTTTTTGTATTTGTTTATTGGATAGGTCAAATCACCAGATAATAAAGGTAGTTGTTGATGGAAATTGGAAACTGGGAAATTCTCTTTATTTACTTGAGTTTCAAGAAAACAATCATCAGAATGACTTTTTAAAGGCTTGTCTATAGTAGAACTTTGAGTAACAGAGCTTGAAAAATCATCATAAGCAATTTTCAAGTTTAAATCAGAAAATAAACTTAAAGTAGCAGAAATATCTTCTGGAACAAATTCACTAGAATTTGTTTCAGAAGATGTTTGGCTAGAAGTAAGGATAGAACAATTAACAGAAGATTGCAAATCATCAACTTTGTTAAATCAAGCGAGATTATTCTTTATTTTAAGTATCTGTATTTTCAACAAGGCTTGAAGCAACCATTTTTAGAGTTACTGGAAGACCCAATATGAAGTAAAGTAACATTATAGTAACTTCCTAAAAAACCATTTTTAGGAAGTTACTGGAAGACCCAAGATAAAGATTATAACGCAAGATAACGATTAACAGATGGCTTAAAAGATTGCAAATTATATGAATCAGGAAAACAAGATGAATGGTTAGGTATCACAAAAAACTGATGTTCGAGGAAAAAAAACTATACCAATAAGAATTTTTGGAGCACTTAAAAACAATAAATTACTATATTATTGTATACAAATACTAACTTAGCAATGATTTGTATATAAGATTTCCATAAGAGGTCAGTACAAAAAGATAGTTAGAGACGATTTAAAGTAGAAGACACAGTAACAATGTTGCCATTCATGAATATAGGAGTATTAACAAGATTGCAAATACTTTTTTAAAGCTTCGCCAGATACACCATATCATCCAGAGCAATAGAATGTGCATCACCGCCTCTATCTAATGTTAATTTCAAACCTTTCTGTAACAACAGGTAACAGGTCCAAAAACAGATGATTAGAATCCATATGTTTCTTATATCATCAACAAATAGAGCCAACTTTGAGTTTTTCAGGATGATCATTAATGTTGGTTAGAAATGGTAAATGGCTGAGGATAGAAGTTCACCTTGTTAGTTAAGTATTGACACTAGCATGAATTTGTTGTGATGTTATTGTTGTGATGTTTTGTGTTAATAGACAACTTGGCTTACCTTCTCGCTGGTGTCTATTGTTAAAAATGATTATTAGGTTGTTTTGTTACTTAAACTCTCTACCTCTAATCATTCACTAAAAGCCAAGAGATAATTTTTAGAATAACACCATTTTTTGTTTTAATGTTGTTTTCACTTTTTTATCTTAGTTGTTGTCAATAGTTTACATAAACAATCTCAAAGAGTAAGTTTCTCTATATTTATTTAGTTTTAATTGTTAATTTATAATTATTTTTTATTTTTAAAACCAATTAATCTGTGTGTTTTAATAATAATTTTATTACAATTTTAGGTTGATTTCTGCTTTTACACCTGCTAATGCCGTCATGAGTACTCAAAATTTTAGGAAGTTCTATTGCTGTAAGTTATTTTCATTTTAATTTAAATTTTAACTTTATTAAAGAATCTTCTGTCTGTTAAATAGGTAATTCTGAATGATTTAAATATATTTCAATGCCTATACTCATTTACTAAACTGTTTGTAAATTAAGCAATAGTTTTAAACAGATGAATTAATTGGATTCCACGATCCTTTATGCATATTTGCATTGAGTTTTTATAATATAACCCAAATTTTTTCTAAAAAACTAGATAAATAAGTAAAAGTCTGTAAAATTAACAATTTTTGGATAATTTTGATGCAAAAATATTATGGCATTTAATTTTAATATAGTTTTGTGTCCCTATCAAAAATTTGAAGTCAAATTTAATAACAGTTGGAAATTATCAACTTTATTTAAAGTCAAATAGGTTTGTGCAATATTGATTTGTCCAATAGGTTGGTGCAACCCTTTTGTAGTAATTTACTGACCGGTCTGTAAATTATGCAATAACTTCAAATAGATGTATTTTACAGATTCCATGATTCCTTTATGCATATTTGCAAATTGTAACCTTAATTTTTGTTGTTCATTACACAATTAAATAAGTAAAAACACTTCAGTCTGTAAAATAAATGATTCTGTGTGATCTCAATAGATTTAATAAAAACTGGATTACTATTTAAAATTTCAAGTCAAATGTAATAACGGTTCAAAAATATCAAACATATTTAAGATCAATATTCTTAATTGGTGTGTAAATCTATTTTTCTGTAATTTACTGACTGGTCTGTAATTTATGAAATAATTTTACTGACAGGTCTGTAAATAATAGTTTTCAAATGATGTATTTTTTGGCTTCCATGATTCCTTTATGCATATTATATTTGCATAGTGCAACCCTATTTTTTTTTCTTAATAACACAATTAAATAATAGAAACCTTTCAGTCTGTAAAATAAACAATACTGGATAATCCCGACAGATTTAATAAAAACTGGCTCACTATTTAAAAATTCAAGTCAAATGTAATAATGGTGCAAAAATATCGAAAATTAAAAAATTACAAACTATTTAAAGTTGATATGTTTAAATTGTTTGAACAGCCCATTTTGTAGCAATTTACTGACCAAACAGTAATTTATGTGATTATTCACTGAGCAGTTTGTAAATTATGCAATAGTTTTTAAATTATGTATTTTTTGGATTCCATGATTCTTTTATGCATATTCGCATGGTATAATTATAATATGACCCAAATCTTTATTCTCAGAAATAAGAAAATAATATAAAACCCTTCAGGCAGTAAAATAGATGATTCTGGACAATAACGACACATTTTTTAAAGTAAAATTTTGGTTTTTTATTTTCTCATAGTTCTTTGATCACTATGAAAATTTTTAAGTCAAAAGTAATAACGATTTAAAAGTTATTCAAAAGTCAGTTTGACCGCAAAAATATATAAATTAGTAAAAATCCTTGGTCTGTAAAATAGATGATTCTGGTCAATCCTGACAGATTTAAAAAAAAAATTTGGGAATTTTATTTCCTTATAATTGGTTGGTTACTATGGAAAATTTCAAGTCGAATGTATTATCGGTTCCAAAAGTTATTCAAAAGTCAGTATGACCCCAAAAACATTTCGACCGCAAAAACATATAAATTAGTAAAAACCCTCGGTCTGTAAAATAGATGGTTCTGGTCAATCCCGACAGATTAAAAAAATTTTTTTTTGGATTTTTACTTCCTTATAGTTGATTGATCACTATGGAAAATTTCTAGTCAAATGTGAAAAGTCAAGACAGATGTGACAGTTCTGGCCATAACGCAAAATACTGCACCTATACATTTATAGAATATGTTATAAAAAAGGCGATAATCGGAAAAAAAAAAGAAAAAGTAAAAAACGAGTAATGGCTCCAATACCAACTGAGACTAAAACTGAAATTATTGAAAGAACGAAAAAGTATGGTAGATTTTAAAATTTAAACAGGTATGGAACATTAACTTTTAAATAATTAACATTTTTAAAAATATTTTATACATTTTTATTTCAATGGAAATACTTATTTGAATGAATTTGAATCAAATTTTTTATTTATTATTCAATTGCATTTTTGTGTATTGTTTAAAGTAAAGTCAAGAGCTGCCAAATACACAATCGCAGCCAAAATACACCAAACAAACTCAAAAACATCTATTTTCAAGATCAAAAGGTAATCAATAGTCAACCAATAAATATACTCGAGTCGGTTTTCGTTATGTTTTCCGGTATGACCATTATGCTTGTCGTCGTTACTTTTCTCAATTCACCATATTATATATTTCGATTGGTAGTGTCTTTATCGATTGAAGTGACGTCAAGCTCCGTGAGTGGAAACATCTGAATACATTTGTTGGCACACTATTAGTTATTCACTTCTTTACAAAATTTGTATGTTTATATTGTTTGTATTGTTTAAACCAGTATTGTTTAAAATATTTGTTAAATATTTAATTTTTATAAATTTAATTTTTAATCACTAACTTTTTGGGATTTAGTAAAAAGATATACTATTAAAATGATTTAGTGATAGTGGTGAAAAAATAATACGATATCTTAAAAAAAATTTATACGATGGCGTCATATACCAAAACTGTTATGAATTTAACATGCACAAAATAAATTATCAAGTCTGCTGATTGCAGTTAACATTATACAGACTCCAAGAACCAAAAAAAAAACAGATACTGCAAGCTTTGACTGGAAAGTGAATTTTAAAGTTAATAGTGTGCATTGATTATTTAGTTTTAATCAAAAAAATTCAACCCAAAATGTTTTTTTTTAACATTTTCTTTGATAAGAACACAAGTTGTCTCGGCAGTTGAGGATCCCTTTAAAATGCAGTTTGGTGAAATGTTATTATTTTTTAAAATAAAAAGCCACTCGTCGAGTTCTTTCTCAATGCAGTCATTAAACTTATGAAGAATTCAGGAAAAATTTCTGTGGCAAAAACTTCATATATCACTTCTTTTTTTTCTGAAGTTATGTAAAAATCAATAATTAAAAGTTGGATGTCTTTAAAATAAATATTAAAAAAATATTAAAATCTGCTAGATCAGAAGGTAAGGAGGATGTTGCAACAAATCGTCAGCCAAGAACCAAGAGGCCGTATCTCAACTTTTTGTGATTTGGAGCAATTCGATTTTTAAATTTTAGGACACAAATACTGACAGTTAATTATTTTGTAAAATATTTATATTTTCAAGTCTAATAGTAAATTAAGTCTTTTTTTTATAAGAAGTAATAAAATTTTGTTTGAAAGAGTGGTTTTAATCTAAAAATGGTGCAATCAGAACAGTTTCTCAGAAAGCGGTTTATATGATTACTCTTGGGTGATTAATACAAAGGGGGGGGGGTTACACTTAAAGTTTTTATTCTTATTAGAACTGATATATATTTCTATAACAAACGTCCTGTCCAGTGTTTAAAGCATCTAAGAGGAAGTAGTGATGGAATTTAAAAATTAGAAATAAATTACTTTTCCAGTGTCGGTGAGACACTAGTAAATGCACTTTTAATGCAGTTTTAAGAAGCCTAAAACAAAAAAAGGTTGCAAAATACAATTTTTTGTTCGTGAGAGTCTTTTATGTTGATACAAACGCTATAAAAATAAAAAATAATAATAAAAAATAATAAAAACTAGTTTCAGGGATTCAGAATTGTATATATATATATATATATATATATATATATATATATATATATATATATATATATATATATATATATATATATATATATATATATATATTAATTATGTTGGTCACAGTTTTCAAGCTGGTTGCAATAGTAAACATAAATTAAAGACTTATCCAAACATTCTGTTTTACTTGTAAATGAAATACAACATCCTGCAAATTAAAATTCATAAGTTAATTTTCATAAAAAGCGTTAAAAAAAAATTGATGCAGAACCAAGTTGCCAATAGAGCTGAAAATTTGTGAACGAAAATTTATAATAGTTAACATTTAACGCTAGGAGAATGTTTGTAAGACCGATGACATATTCTTTGTCTTAAAGTGGCATGAATTTAACATTAATTTTAGATCTTGTACTTTTTCTATTTCTTTTTTTTTTTTTAAGTACTTTCGGTTGCACAAACTTTGGCGCTACTGCAGTTTCTCCCCTCCCCCCCTCTTTTTTATTGCTGATTATGATAGAGAATTTTATGCTAATTAAGAATCGTATAAAAATATAGGTCTGAAAATCAACAGAAAGTGCTCTAATTCGATCTTGAAGTTTAAAAAATTACACTAAAAAACGCTAATATTTGCCATTTTTTTTATTCTCGGTTACATTAAAATTCTTTTCAATGATGATTTTAAAAAAGCCTGGTTTCTATCAACAATTTAACCCAAAACTGTTAAAAAATGCTCAGCGCATCATTTTCTGATTTATCCCTTGCTCAAACCCAAACCCTGTCCCAAATCATGTACGTTTTATCGCGCCAATCCCTATTTGTCAGTCGATGTATGTGCATTTAGTTGTGCCAATCCCTATTTGTCAGTCGATGTATGTACATTCAATTGCCCAATCCCTATTTTTCAGTCGATGAGTGTACATTTAATTGCGCCAATCCCTATTTTTCAGTTGATTTATGTACATTTAAAAAGCAATATTTGAATTTATTTTTAAAAAAAATATATTTAAAGTATATAAGAAACATTAATTAAAACATTCAATTCAATTATAAATTAACTTTGATGACAATAAAAACCGGGTCGCTTAATTAAGAAAAGATTTTCTTAACAATCGATTTCAAAATGTAAACTTTGATGTAAAATGTATTTAAAAAATGGCGAATATTAGCGTTTTTTAGTGTAATTTTTTAAATTTCAACATCAAATTAGAGCACTTTCTGTTGATTTTCAGACCTATGTTTTTATACGATTCTTAATCAGCATAAAATTTTCTATCATAATCAACAATAAAAAATAGGGGGGGGGAGGGAGAAACTGCAGTAGCGCCCAAACTTTATATCTTTTGCCATTTTTTTATTATTTGAATTTCGTTGTCTAGTGTTATAGTTGACAATATTTTCTAACTTCCATTCAGAACTAAACTCAGTTTTGTATTCAACACTCCATGGCTTATCAGATGAGTATTTAAGTATCTTAACTTTAGCATATGGAACATTTTTCAGCAATAATTAATTCTTAGCAACGGTTTGAAAGTCCATCATCTGCTCTTCTTTAATTTGTATCAACTTGATTGGATTCTTTTGAGGTATGTACTTTAAAATTCTGACAAGGCCAATTAGACTGTAAACTTCAGCTACGTCCATATTTCTTTCAATAATACTATGTAAACTGTCTATCTCCTGGATAACACTATGTCCTGGCTCACTAAGTTTCTAAATAATTGTTTTAGTTTGTGGATGGTTTTGCATAAAAAATTTTAAAGCAATCGTCGTAAAACTATTTCTATTCTGCAGTACACAAGAGTCACTCCATAAACAAATTTCATTTATTTGAGAGATTTCAGTTATTTGAGAAATCTGCAACTGTTTGATCAAGTATAACAAGAAGAGCTATATCATTTCCTGTTCGGCCACTAGTAAGTTCTGACCAGTCTGCACTATAATTTTTTTTTTTTTTTGATATAGAGCATTGTGCAGTCAAATAAAAAACAGTCAACTTTCGTTTGTAAAAAAAGTTGGAAGCGATTGCTGTTGGTAGGCTGAAAACATTTTCCATATCGAAGCAAATGACACACTTACTTTTATTAAGCCTATCATGATTATGTTCTTCATTAGTTTCAGCTTTGTTTTTTGTGTGAATTTCATATTCTATTTTTTCATTTAAGTTTGGTGAGGGATTCATTTTTATACTTTCACATTTGTCACATCTGTCTTTTTTTAGTTTATGAACTTCAATATTAAAAGTCTTTGTTAAATATTGATCTATACTTTTTTTTGCAGGAATAACATTGTCAGAAAAACAATTTTCACAATATTTCTCATACAAAATATTCAGATTTTCTTGAATGTACTCTTTGTTTGTACTTTTGCGACAAAAGTGTCTGTCGATTCTTGGAATGCTTTGAATATGCTTACGTACAGAATTTTTAATGTAATTTAGGACAGTTCGACTAGGTACTTTACCTCTTTTATACTGTTGAGGTGTTTCTGTTGTTTTGTTTTTTGTTAAATGGTAATTTCCAATTCTTTTTTTATTTAGAGTACACAGATAAATTTCTTTAAAAACACGTATAAGTTCATCAGAAACAATAAAGTAATATGAATAACTATGTTTTTTCAATTCTGAATTTTCAGCTAGACAAAACCTTTTTTCGTTTTCTACAATTGTAGTTTGACAGTAAAAAAGACGCTTTTCTTAATCATTAAAAAACCAGTGTTGTTTGTGCAAAGTTTCTCAATCAGCAACGCTAATTTTTAATTTACATTTAAAACGACATTGAGCGTGGTCTCTCTTACAGTCTTTTATAAATTTCCCCAGTTGTATTTTGCCATTTGAGGTTATATATTGCTGACCACTTTAAGTTTTTTTCTTATTTCTTTTTTCCAGAAGGTAGGGTCTCTTTCGTTTGCGTGTAAGATTTTTTCTAGTTCTCCTGTGTTTTCTGCTACTTTCCCTGGCATCTTCATTTGAATCAGTTTGATTAAGAAAATCATTATTTTTATCAATATGTTGTGATTGAATAACAGAGATAGATTAAGAGTAGTTGAATTGAAGATTATGTTGTAATTGAATGTAATCTTGTTTCTTTATGTTTCTAAATTATTAAATATTATATATACAATAATAATAATAATAATAATAATAATAATAATAATAATAATAATAATAATAATAATAATAATAATAATAATAATAATAATATTACAAAAGGAATATAAGTAGGTTAAAAAGGGCATTGATCAAAAATATTTACAACACAATCTTTTACTAATAAAGCTTTTTGTACAATTTTCTCTGCAAAAATTATAAATAAACATTCTGCATAAGTAAATATAAAAACATGACTGGCAGTTTTTGGACTTGTTTTCTAAAATTTAACACAAGCAAAAACATTAATCTCTAATGTAAAGAAATATTCAATACTACAAAATGATCCACAAGTGAGTTTAACAAGTGAGTCACAATGACGAACATTTTTATGACAAATATGCTGTTTCTTGACAAAAGCCTATCTTGGTAATATCAACTTATTCAATTGAATAAAAAATTCATGTGTGCCAATAGTATGTTGCCATTAATACAACACTATGTTTCCCAACATATTCAAATATCAATTTATTATTCTTTGTTCTCCTTACGTCTAAGTTATTGTTACCTTACACTAAGTTATTGATTTTCTTCAAAATAAACTAGAAAATTATATTTTCTAGTTTATTTTGAAGAAAATCAAGCTAGAAAATAAATTGATTTTCTTAAAAATTAACTAGAAATGACAAACAAATATTACACTCAAAATACTGAAAATTTTAACTTGTACACATCCTTTTTTAACACTATCAAATATGACAAGCTCTCTAAACATCAGTGTATTTCTCACTGAAACCAAATAACGCCATTTATAAAAAAAAGATTGTAACTAAATACCCTTTTATTACCAACATTCTTTGTCTTAATCGAAATCAAATTAAGAAACTTTATTTGAGTATATTTTTAGTCAATATTAATTTTATCTTTTATTAGTATTGCTTTTCATATATTACAGTATTTATTAAACTGTTATTACTCTTTTTTAACTCTTCTACTAATATTACTATTAATTTACTTTTGTTTTAGAAATCTAATTAATATTATTTATAATAATAGTGATAGTGATTTCTTTGTAGTAAAAGCTTTACGGTTTTTGTCCAACTTTTGCTAATGTTATGTTTATTTTAATAATTTCTGTCATAGTTTTAAACTTTACTATATTTATTTTTTCCATAGTTTTTATTAATAGTTATAATTTTTAGTAAAGTTTTCATTATCAATAGTTAGGGGAGAGGGGGGCACGTTTATAAACTTTTTACATTTTCTGACATTAAAAGCTAAATATTATATTTAGAGAGGAAATAATAACTTGTATATGTTCCACTAAGTATCCTGCATATTTTAGTACCACAATTTTATTGATAAGAACATAATTAAATAAATATAGCACAAAAAAATAAGGTAAAGATTTGTGTATCAAGGGACAAGTAGATACACACCATGGGGCAAGTTGATACATTTAATAAGACTTGAAAATGAAACTTTAAACTAATTAAGTAATCAAACACAAAAAATAATACAAAAAAACAAAAACAAAAGATTAAGTAAACAAACTAAAAAAAGATGGCTACACAGTTAACATAAATTTGACTTCCTTTTTGCCTTCCAAAGTTAAATTGCAGCTTTTACATAGGCCTATATATTACAAGAGAGGCTTATATTCAAGATTTTATGGTAATAGTAATATGCTTTTTGTTTAGCCTATACAGAATGATAAGTAACAAAAAAAAGTCATTGATGACATGATGATAAGTAATATTATTGTCTAAAAATGTGTGCCATATTAATAACAGAGGCAAGACCTAGCAAACCACTATAGTTCCACTAGCCGCTCTAGCCATAACTTGGCTAATAAACTTTTTAGTCACTATTATACATTGTTATTATTTTAAATAGTGGTATTAATAATAATTAGG